TTTTTTTCAATTTATTTGATTGTAACAGTGGTCTCCCTACGCAGCTTGGACTCACAGTGATCCTCCTGTTTTCAGCCTCCCCAGCTCTGGGATTACAGGCATGTGCCACTATGCCTGAACTCTGTGGTCAGCGCAGGGCACCGTGGGGGCAGAGCTCGAACTGGGGTCCCTGTACTTGCCTATGCAGGTGCTTAGTCCACTGAGCTATCTCGCCAGCATCTATAGGTTGTATTTTTATGGTGTTTAGTATGTTTATGCTGAGTGGATATTGTTTTGTTTTGTACTGAAATCATTGAGCAATCTATTATCCTGAGGGTTTTTTGTTTCGTTTAGTTTTGAGTCTTATGTTTAGGACTTTCATCCTCTTTGAGTGCACGTCATAGTGTGTGAGGTAAAGATCCAGCTTCATTCTTGTGCAGCTATGTGTTCTGTTTTCATAGCACCATTTTTTTCTCACTTACAATCTAGTGGTCTTGGCACTTCTGGTGACCATTACTTCACCATACATGCAGGGTGTATTTGTAGACTTTTTTGTTCTTTTGCACTAATTTATATATTTTGCCTTTACTCTAGCACCTCACTTTTAGGATTACTACAACTTTGTAATACATTTTAAAATGATAAAATGTGGGACTTTCAGTTTTATTACCGTTCTGGATGATTTTGGCTGCTCAAGGTTCTGTGATATTCCATGTGAACTTTAGGAAGGATTTTTGTCCTTTAAAAAAAAAAAAATTGGGATTTTGATAGTGATTGCATTGAATGGGGAAGTTGCTTTGTATGTACTGTTGACATGCCTTTTGCCTTCTCGGTTACATTTGTCTCTTAAGTATTGGACTCTTTGCAATGCTGTTATAAATTGAATTTTCTTAATTTTTATCATTTTCTATATAAATTTGAATTGATCAGTTCCAGCTTTGATAAAATACTGCTTGTTTTTTTCTCACTTAACATCTTCAAAACATCTTTATAGTATCTTGACTATATTTGAAATGCTAAATAAACTTGCCAAAGCTAATACCTTGCTGTTGCATTTTACCTGCAAATCAGTTTTCAATAATGCATTGTCTCTAGAACTAACCAAGGGTACTTTTGTTGCTCATGCCCAAGTACCAGAACTTGCATTTTTAAAAAGTTTTTGCAGTATCCATATGCATGCTTGCGTGTATGTGTGTGTGTCTGAGATGCTGTCATCTGAATTACTGTATATTTGTACCTCCCACAGGAATAAGGTTGAGATGTGTACATGGTCCATTCTGCTGGTGTTAGGGTAACTCTGGGAGCACTTACAATATAGTGGTCACTTTTAGAACTGGAAGACAAGCAGTTGTTAATACAATTTCCACAGTTGTAAGGAGCCAGAGGTGTTCATCTGGAGTGACTTGCTTGCTTACTTGACAGGTGGTGATAGAAACCATTCTTGGGTGATTTATATTGTTTTCTCACATTATTATTGTTTTTAAATAAAATCTTTGGTTTCAAATACAAAGAAGTAATGCTCAGTGTAGTAATAGTAGATAAAGCATAGCATATTAATTTTAGACCCACATCATTGGAAGTTAACTAGTTTTATAGGTTGAAATAATTGATCACTTTTTACCTTTTATTTTAATGAGCTCGATGAAAAGTGTTTTAAGAGCCCTGAGATAAGGAGAGACTTGAATTTGGCACTTAAAGCCGTAGTATTATATGCTGTGTACAGTGTGCACATTACCTGTTATCAGTTGTGTTAAAGGTTTTATCATCCCATTTTCTGGACTAGGAAACTGATACATAGTGACATAAAAAAAAGGTGCCTCATACGTTTAACTAGGAGTAGGTAGAAGTAGAATAGTGGCGAAACCTGTGACTGCCTGGTCCAAAGCCTGTGGTCTCTCCACTGTACAGTGTTGCTCTTAGGTTTTCAGTGATGTGTGTGTCAGACACTAACAGTTATTGAATGTAGGGTGGGTAGCATGACCCCATACCTGAAGCTTGCTTTTTGTGGGGAAAAATAACAGTTTATTTTTTGTGGTTTACTTTAGGAGCTAGTGAGAATTCACTTCCCTCCTCCCTTGCTTCCTCTCTTCTTCCTTCCTTCCTTTCTTCCTGTCTCTTTCATAAGATCTGGTTAGGTAATCTAGGTTGGCCTCACACTCTTGGTCTGTCTTAGCTCCCAGCTGTTAGGATTCCTGTCATATGCTGTCGTATGCTAGGCCCTCATTTTTCTCATGCATGTGAAAAATATAATATATACCTAGTGTTTTTTCATAACCTTATGTAATAGGGTTGAACTTGTTTTCTTTCTTAACCTATTCTTTTAGTAAGCATTAGAATGTAGTCATCATTAGATTTTTATTGATCCTAAATAAATACTAAAATTATTATATAGGTCATCTTACATTTTCATTAATCTGTGTCATGGTAAAGGTCCTCTATTTTTTTTTTCTTTTCCTTTATTTTATTATTGTTATTTTTTTTTCTGATACATAGCCTTGCTACACAGTACAGACTTGTAGTGATCCTCCTGCCTCAGCCTCCTTAGTTCTGGGATTACAGGTGTGCATCACCATGCCCAGTTCCTCAGCTAGGCGTGGCATGCGGTGCTGGGGATCAAACTCAGGGCTTTGTGCTTGTGAAACAGGTGCTTATGTTGCTGAGTTATCTCCCTAGCCTAAGGTTCACTATCTTACTCCTTTTCCATTGTTTTATGTCCTCTGAAACCAAAGTTTATTGAGGGGAAGAGCATTTTTCTTTAGCAATGCTATGAGCTATTTAGGTGGGTTTTTTTTGGCAGAACCCGGGATTGAACTCATGCCCTTGCGCTTGCCAGGGAAGCACTTATTCCACTGAGCCATCTCCCTGGCCCCTGGTTAGGCTTTTTGTTCTTGTTTTTCTACAGAGGAATGAGTTTGTTTCTGTGTTTTGGTGCCTTGTGTAAAGTGGAGATTTCTAATGTAATACTAATGAAATGTTAGTATTTGTTTTAAGTCAGTACTGAGAAACTATGATTTGTGAATCTGTTTTTGTAGATAAAGTTTTATTGGAATACTGCCCACTCATTTGTATATTTTCTGTGGCTGTATGCCTGCTAGTGTCACGTGACACAGTTGAGTACTTAACAACTGATGATATGGTTCCAAATCTAAAATATTTACTTTTTGTCTCTTTAACAAAGTTAAAGATTTGTGATTGATATGAAACTTTTCCTTACTAGGTTAAAGAATAAGAGTCTAGTTTTTTTTAAATAAAAAGATATCTTTTGTTCGTTGTTTAGTTAATACTTTTAATATGAACTGAATCTAGAATCTAGTCTTGATGTGTTGTGAGCACTGAGATGAAAGTACTGATACTGGGTGTTTATTTCACTGGCAAATCTGGGAGTATCAGAAAAAGTGGTTTTTTTATTGAGTTTTAATACATTTTCCTGAGTTGCTGATTGAGAAACTGTCTGCAGATAACAGGGAAAAAAGGCATTACATTTGTAGTTACCATGCATTATAGAAAACATGGTGGTACAGCTGAGCATGGCAGTCTCAGCTCTGCATTGAAGAGCTTTATGGCACTGAATCCATTTTTTTCCCTGACCGGGATATCTTTCATTTAGTATATGCTGTTCTCTTCCTGAGCCCTGGAAACACAGTGAGAAAGATCCCTTCTACTGTTGGGGTAGTGTTGCCTTAGATTATGTTGTTACACCTGAAAAACTGTTGGGCTACGAAGTTTCCTTTGTATCTCGCCATGAATTCAGTTTCTTCCTTGCAGTCTCAGCAAGTGTCTTTTGAGTGATTTCAATCTGGATGGATTTTGTGTTACGGAATTTTACTTGCCAGTTGAGAGTGAGATGACTTGGTCACATGAGAGAAAGACTTGCAAAAATGAGTACCACGGCTCATATGAAAATTTCCAGTAGGGGGCACTATTATCAAGCTTAGGAGAAGTGGAGACTTTCTCAGACATGCAACCCAGGGTTTGCTAAAAGGGGAAATATTTTCATCTGATAAGATGCAGATACTGTTTTATACAACTGAATTCTTTAAATATGTTACGAAGTGCGCTGAATTAAACACAGATTTAATATCTCACTGTCTTGTTTTTCAGCAGACTGAATCAATTTAATGTTACAGGTGATACAAAAAGCTTACTCTATTTTGCATTAGAGCCAAATTCATAATTTTTATATTTGGAGTGGACAAGATTTTTTATTTTGCTTGCTTTAAGCTGGTCTCAAAAGATGACCCTTGGATCTCAAAGTGAATTTATTTCAAAATGAAGCATATAGATCCTGTACTGCTAAATTGCAGCTAAGAGAATGCTAATGTG